TTTCCAGTCTATCTTTATGCTCACAATATATGAGATAAGGGTAGTACACAGAGGAATGAACTGTCATTCACTATGGTCTAAGAAAACAAGATACTCCATGACACAACCAAATTTAAACAATATCTTTCCACTAACCCAGCATTACAGAGGAAACTGGAAGGTATTTCCAATACATGGATGATAACTAAACCGAGGAAGATACAAGAAATAGATAACTCCATACCAATAAAATGAAAAGAAGAAACACACACACACACACACACACACACACACACAAACACACACAGAGTACCACCAACATCATAAAAAAAAAGGACCAATAATTATGGTTAAATATTTCTCAATTTCTCAATATCAATGGTCTCAATTCCCCAGTAAAAAGACACAGGTTAACAAAGTGGATGCATAAATAAGATTCATCAGAATTCTGCATACAGGAAAAGCACTTCAGCAACAAACATAGGTATTAAGTTAGAGTAAAGTATTAGAAAATGGTTTTCCAAGCAAATAGACCTAATAGACAAGCTGGAGTAGCCATTCTAATATATAATAAAATAGACGTTAACCAAAAGTTATCTAAAGAGTTAGGATGGAAATTCATAATCGTCAAAGAAAAATTCCACCAAAATGACATTTCAATTCTGAACATCTGTGATCCAAATGCAAAAGTACCCACATTCATAAAAGAAACATTAATTACTAAGGCTTAAATCACATATCAAACTCCACACATTATTAGTGGGAGACTTCAACTTCCCACTTTCACCAATGTACATGTTATCAAGAAAAAAGTTAAACAGAGAAATAATCAAACTAACTGAGGTTATGAATCAAATAAATCTAACAGATATTTATAGAACAACTTCAACCAACCACAAAAGAAAACACTTTTATCTAAAAACCTCATAGAACCTTCTACAAAATTGACCATATAACTTGGTCACAAAGTAAACCTCAACAGATACAAGAAGAATGAAATAATTCCTTGCATCTTATCAGACCACCATGGATTAAAGCTGGACTTCAACAGCAACAGAAACAACAGAAAGCCTACGTACGCACAGAACCCAATGTTAACTGGGTTAGAGAAGAAATAAAAACTTTCCAGAATTCAATGAAAATGAAGGCACATTATACCCAAAATATACCCAAAATTATGGGATACAATGAAAGGCATGCTAAAAGGAAAGTTCATAGCACCAAGTGCCTTCATAAAAAAATTGGAGAGGTCTCATACTAACAATTTAAAACCTTTCTCAGAAAGATGATAAAGAAATCAGATAAAGAGATTTAGGTAGTTGTGATCTCAGGGCAAGATCCCACCCAGCTATACTTAGTGTTTGTGCTTACAAAAGCAGGCAGATTTCTGAGTTCAAAGTCAGACTGGGACAAGGTTAGTTTAGGTCCAATCATGGTGGGAGTAGTTATCTTTGAGAAGGATCTCACCCAGCTAGCTTATTGTCTGTGCTTACAAAGGCAGGCAGAGCTTTGAGTTCATTTGCTATGTTAAAAAAATGTATTTGCTGTTCTTTTCTAAGAATCAAAGGGCTAATATCATTTTATGCTGATTCATGGGATAATCAAAAGGTAACCAAGATAAACAATTGAATTGACATGACAATAAAAATACTGCGGTGTGGTCTGCAAGATAGAAGTGTTCTAAAGTGCTATAGCAGTTTATTTTTGAAATTCATCTGGAGGGTTTTCTGACCAAAGTCAGAAAAATTCTAAGAAAGCAATACAGCACTCTAAGTAGCTTTATGGGGTTTTTTCTAACTAATGTCAGAAAACCCGTTATTTTTTCTAATGTGTTTACTGACTTTGGTTGTAAAAACCCAAGAATTGTACTAGCAGACTTTCTAACTTTGGTCAGAAGAAACAAAAACTTACTTAGAGAGCTATACTGCTCTCTTAGAGTTTTTCTAGCAGGTTTTCTAATTTTGGTCATAGAAATCCATGAGGTATCCAGAGAGCTTTTAGAATATTTCTAGCAAGTTTTCTGACAAAGTCAGAAAAAGCTACTTAGCTAAAGTAGCTCTTTTAGACTTCTTTCTAGTGGATTTTCTGACTTTTGGTGGAAAACTTATGATCTGTCTTAAGCAGAAAGCTGTCTCTAGCAGAGAGCTATCTCAAATAGAAATCTGTCTAGAGAGCCACCTCAAGCAAACAACAGAGCTGTCAGCTTGAACTCCAGTTCAAGTCAAGGGTAGTCTTTGGCAAATGAGGAGCTGATTCTTTGAGAAAATCAACAGTACAGACAAAGCTTTAGCCAGACTAACTAAAATGTAGAGAGACAATAACCAAATTAATAAAATGAGAAATGAAAAGGGAGATTTAACAAAGGACACTGAGGAAATTCAAAGAATAATTATGTTTTACTTCAAAAGCCTATAATTCACAAAATTAGAAAATTCAAATGAAATGGAAGATTTTCTAAACAGATATCATTTACCAAAGTTAAATAAAAATCAGGTAAGTTATCTAAATAGTCCTGTATCCCCTAAGTAAATAGAAGCAGTCATAAGATGTCTCCCAACCAACCAAAAAAACAGGGACAGATGCTTTTAGTGCAAAATTCTACCAGCCTTTAAAGAAGAGCTAATACCAATACTCCCCAAACTATTCCACAAAATATAAACAGAATACTGCCAAACTCATTCTATGAGGCCACAGTCACCCTGGAACCTAAACCACACAGACTCAACAAAGAAAGATAATTTCAGAACAATTTCCTTTATGATTTTTATGTAAAAATTCCCAACAAAATACTCATAAACTGAATCTAAGAACACATCAAAACCAACATCCACCGTGATCATGTAGAGGCTTCATCCCAGGAGTGCATGGGTGGTTTAATATATGAAAATCCATCATGTAATTTGCCATACAAACAGAAAAAAAACCCAAACACATGATTAGGCTAGAGAGAGGACTCAGCTGTTAGGAGCACTGACTAGAGATCTGGAGTTCAATTACCAACAACCATATGGTGACTCATATACGTCTATAATGGAATCTGATGCCCTCTTCTAGTGTACTCTGAAGACAGCTACAGTGTATTCATATACAAAAAAAACAAATAAATAATTCTTTTAAAAATATGGTCATATCATTAGATGCTGAAAAATCTTTTGACTAAATCCAACATCTCTTCATGTTAAAAGTCTCAGAGGGATTAGGGATTTGCAAGGAGCATACCTAAACACAATAAAGAGAATTATAGCAACTGAAGAGATAACACCAAATTAAACGGAGAGAAACTTAAAGCAATACCATCAAAATCAAGGCTGGTCACTCTTACTAAAGAAAATAAGGGGACACAAATTGGAAAGGATGAAGTCAAGGACTACAGTCAATGGAGAGTTTCATCTCAGGTAACTAAGATTTCTCCTTCTCATGCTATGTCTTATTTCTATATCATTTAAATAACAGTTTTCAAAAGAAGCAATCAATAAATGAAGACTGAGCCATTATAATTTGAATTTATGATTGTGTGGAGGAAACAGTATTCATAAATAGATCTTCCTACCTCTAATCTCTCTGATAATGGGCTATAGTCATTTTTATTTAAACAATAGTTTTAAATTAAGGAACAAAATTGCAAACAAAAGCTGGAAAACTTGAGAATTCACTAGTAGGAAACTAGACCATCTAGTACAGAGTTTTGCATCATAATACACAGCAATAAACCAAACATCAACTCTTGTCGTCCTGAGCATTCTTTGTGGTGGATTTTAAAAGAGCAAGGGAGAAAATTATTACATGTCAATTGGATTCAGCGTCTGTGTGTACATGATCAATGGGGAAGAGCAGAATACTGACAAGTTAGCAGAGAGACTGATAAGATGCAAGAGGCCTGAAGCTTCATTCTGTTTTTCACCCTTTCCATGACTTACATCAGTCTCTTCACTTCAATGCTCAGAGTTGAGAAAGCCTCAATGCAATCAAGGGACAACTCACAGTCAGTTGTGGAGTAGTAGTTCAGAACACAGCAGGTGAATTTTCCTCTTAAGAAACTACTAAGATCCGTGTCACTATACGCCTGTTTCCATCTTGTTCCTGTGCTACCTTGATACCATTTAACCATATGTCTGCTTCTTTCCCAGCTCCAAACATGCTAAAAGTTCACACTGACTTAAGAACTTTGTAATATTTAGGACTAATACATAGCCAGTACTCTGTGCACAAGTATTGGTTGAATTGATGAAGCAATAAATATGGGCTGGATAATCACATAGTAGGAGTGGTACATGGGTAAGTGGAATATATCTAATATGAGTGATATGATTTATAGGACTGCCAATGTCAGTGTTCCTCAGACACAGAGCTTTATCTCTAAATTCATCTGTACTAATATATGTGTTGTATATTGAACAGAGGGTCTTGCTCTGGAGTAAAGTCTAGCTTGGAATTTACACTATAGATCAGGCTGGAAACACATTCTCTGTATAGTACATTATTTTGTCACCAACTCCTTAACTCTAAGACCCAAATACTGGGTGTCTACCACCACTGCTGACTTCCTCTGATGTATTCATCTACCCATAGTTCCTTTCATTTTTGTTACCTACTGACACAGATTGAAAGAATTCAAAGAAATACCATATGTATTTACCCAGCTTGACTCTGAAATGATTTAATGACTTAGTTCTCCCTTCTCTATGATTGCAATGGAGAGACATATAGATAGGAAACATAGTTGGTTTTCTCCCATGATACTGCAAGAAAGCAGTAAATAAAGAATTAATAGTTTGGCTTCTTTCATCAAGACTAGCATCTTCAATGCTAAGTGACATGGTTACTGTGTACAAAACAGTCCTCATAGGAATGAATGGAGAAAGGACAGAGTGCATCATACGTTATATAGACTATATGAGATGTATTATTTTGCTTAGTTCTTGGCACAATTCTATGGGGTCAATATTACTATAATATACACATTTTATGGATGAGAAAATGTGAGAAGAGAGCTCCAGCAATTTTTTCAAGGTCATGTAAGTAGTCTGTGGTGGAATCAAGCCTCAAATGCATTCCTATTTGTCATATTCCATTAGCCACATCATATCATGCCAGGGAGCTGATATAATCAATCTTAGAGAAAATACTAAAGTACTATATTACTATAATATTGTTTCCCTGTACTCTAAGTACTACATATGCTTTGATTAAACTCTAATTTCATAGTATGAAGAATAAGGTGATAGCCTTATTCTTTTTTCTTTGATGTTATTTTAACTTAAAATATTTTTTTTGCATATATATGCTTTCTTTAACATCTACAGGCCTTGGATGGGCAGTGATGAAGGCTGATTATATATCACAGTACCATCTGTGGCTCCTGGTCCTGTTGTTCCCTTCCTTGGCAGCTAAATAATCACAAGAAAACACACAACAGGAAGAATGAAGGGGAAATGGTAGTTTTCTTTGACCTTAACAGAGGAGCATATAGACTTTGCATATTACCATCATACATATATGACAATGTTACAGTGGCTAATAGGGGAAACAAAACTGCATGTCTGTGGATCTCTGATGCTAGTCAAATTGGAAGAGACACTGCACAGCTCATACTTCTGCATGGGAAAAAATATTGTCACCTTGGTTTCTGATGAAGAGAGAACCACCAAAGCCTAGACAAAAAACATCCTCTCTTGAGTACCATAGATGAAGAACCAGCAAATGGTGACAGGAATAAAGACCCTCACTGCATCCTCTTCTGTAGATCTGTGGTAATGATGTAGACCGATAAACACAAAGGTCATTCCTTTTTTGATAACTCTGCAAAGTACTTTTTCTTCCTTGGTAAGAAATTGTGTTATAAATGGTTTATACTATACATGAGCCACTGGATGCACATAATTTTATTTGCTAAGTTGTTGAAACATCTCATTTTCTGATTACAATTACACCCTCTTGTTAAAATCCTGCTTTTCCTAGTGTTTATCCCCCAGGCTCTACCCTCTGTAAGCATCTTGTTTCTCCCATAGTGACAGTACAGAGTTTTATGTACTTATTCATGTGTTTGTTACATCTTAGTGAGTGAATGTGTCTTGATGGTGTGTGTGTGTGTGTGTGTGTGTGTGTGTGTATAGTATAGTATAGTATAGTATAGTATAGTATAGTATAGTATAGTATAGTGTCAGAATGTATACATCCAAATGCACATCTGTAAAGTATTGAGTATTGATGCATAACTTCCATCTTGTTTGAAGAAAGTTATCTTTTATATCCTGCCTCCATGTACTACAGGATAGTGGATCAGGAAGTTTCCAAGAATTCTCCTATCTCTACATCCCATGTGGCTAAAGAGATACTAGGGTTATAATTCCTTTCTACCTTATGTTGCAGAATATTTGATCACATTTTGAACTCTGAGATTATGAACTGTTTCTAACTCTGGTATGGTTCAGTCATTGATAGTAGACCTTTCTATCTATTGTAAGCAAGTAGTTGTGGTGGGGCCCAACCCTATCACACACTTTTAATCTGAAAGCTAAATAAAGTCAATCCTAGGACAAGCTGCAGAGCAAGTAACCAGGTGACAGAGAGTGAACATAAGTAAACAGAAAGGAGGATCTATGAGTTGAAGGATATTTTAGACAGTACACAAGAGAATGCAGTATAGAAATACAGTAAAGTGAGTGGAGAGCAGTAGAGTTGAGAGAGACAAAGTAAAGCAGCACAGAGAGAAAGAAAACAGGAGGCAGTTTAACCAGGACAGTTATAGGGAGATGGATATTGAAGAGAGAACAAGCTAGACACAGGTGAGGAGAGAAGAAGACACAATGAGTCAGAGAATGAGAAGGTGCCAGATTAGAACAGATTACTAGGTTTAGGTTGAGGCCAAGCAGAACAATTCAGGAGAAACTGAGAGAAGCCAGATTGAATCAGTTAGCCTGGAGAGGAATTTGAGACTGAATAGCTGAGTTGAGTCAGCCAATCAAAGCTTAGAAAGAACT